CTTCTCCCAAACCGTGTCAAGCGAACCAGTCGACGTATTAAGCCACCGCTTCAACGTAGCGTGGGAACTCTCCACCCTACACGACGTTGTGTTGCCAAAATGTAAGACAGTGTCCGTCCACACTTTGACAAACTTCTTCTTGTGCACTAGCCATGTCTGATCCACATATTCCAACACACGAGGAAACGCCGCGTATGTAACAACCAAATCAGTTACTGCAGTTTTGTATTTGTCCCACGTGTTCGCCTCGACAACCTTCTTCCACTTGCCGTGCGTGAACTTCTGCGCGAAGATCTTATTCTTAGTTGTGGTTGTCGACGTTAATCGATAGACCCTGTCTTCCACATCCTTGTTGATGTGCCACGTGCAGAGTAAGTGGGGCGTCGTCGGAAAATTCCTCTGAATAGGAGTGATCAACCCCAACTCCCTGTCACTGACAATGACTATAGGATGTACATCAGGCCCTATCAGAAGTCTCAACCGCTGTAGGACCCAGTCATAGCTGTACTCGGTCTCGTCCTTGATAATTGCATAAGCAATTAAGAAATTCTTGTTGCACGGCGTCATTCCAACCATCTCAACGAACGGAATGTGGTACCTGTGCAAATGAAAGCAGCAAGAAGAAAAAACATAGAATCAAAAAACTTACTCAAACATACTATTTTAAGATTCACATTATATTACTATTTATAACGTAATGTAACATACCTGTTGGTTTTGTACGTGGAATCTATACCGACATACCAGTAATATGTCCGGAATAGACTGGCTGCTCCTGGATGCGACATGAACACACGTGTCAACTCCTGTGTGTCCGGGTCAACATCTGTGTAAACTATGTAGTTGCTGTCCCTAGCCAAATGCAGAAGCTGGCCAACAATATCTCTACCCTCCAGACGGTCTTTTCGCAATTGACCTCTATAGTTATACACTTGTCGGCAAGTAGCGTTGTCCACTGGGTTTTTCTCCTGAATTGCAGCCAATATTATTCCCGGTCTTGCCTGAGCATCAGTCATATCACGGACAATCTCTTTGGATGAATCGCTGAGTCGGCTCATTGTCGATGACCCTCGGGATGCACAGCCAAAGCATGATTATGAAATCCCTTCTCGTCTTCTAAAGGAAGCCAGATACTCCATTTTTTGGAATTTGCTTCAAATTTGACTTTTATTAGAAAAGGGCAGCCAATAAATTTAGTCTTCGAACGTCTCAAAACAGCATTCACAAGATTTCCTAGTTTTCCTGCCTTGCCTCTGTAACGTTCCCCTCGATGACACCTCAACGTCCGAACCATTCCATCTTTTTCGTGTCTCGAGATGACCAATTCGAAATTCCATATCATTGCAATGTCTTTTGCCCATTCAATAGCTTCCTCATGACTATCAAATAGCTCATTTGTAGCAAAACACGATCGGTAATCTTCGCCGTCTCCTCCAAAATCTTCGAGTGGCACCTGCAAATAATAATAGTAATTAATAAATTTTACGTTATATCAAATAAATTTTACTTCTCTCAAATAATAATAGTAATTAATTTGTAATTTATTATATAATCAATTCAAACTTCCAAACGTTATATCAATAAATTTTACGTTATAAGATAATATATTCATATATATTAATAATTTATACTAATATAAATTTTTCCTATTACATAATTTTATACTATTAATTTAATACTAACTACTAATATTAGTTTTTTATAAATACTTTCTATTAGTATATACTAAAAAAATTAATATATTACTATATAACTTTTTTATATATTATTATATATTAATATCACTTTTTTATATTATAATAGTAATTACTAATATAATTTTTTTATATTAGTCCATGAATTTTTAATATATATTATTATATATTAATAATAATTTTATATTATAATTTTTTTATAATAATAATTTTATTATAT